TCTTCCCTCCAATATATCTTCTATGCTTGTGATTCTCTCTACTATCTCATATATTCTGTGGGTGATGTTTGCATCTGTAGTTCATGTTCACTTACTCATATTTTCTATTTCCAAAGTCCTTCCTTTTATGTTTTCTTTGCTGCTTCTCTTTCCATATTCATGTCTTGAAGAGTTTCTTTCACCTGCCATTTTTCTATTAGTTTTTTGGCATTATTTACGAGATTTATTTATTTTTTCCTATGTTTTTTTAAAAGATTTATTTATTTATTATGTATACAGTGTTCTGCATGCATGTATGCCTGCAGGCCAGAGGAGGGCACCAGATTTCAGTGTAGATGGTTGTGAGCCACCATGTGGTGGCTGGGAATTGAACTCAGGACCTCTGGAAGAGCAGCCAGTGCTCTTAACCTCTGAGCCACCTCTCCAGGCCCCTATGTTTTATTTTAGCCCACGACTTCAGAAGAAGTCTTCTTCTTACACAAGGCAAGGTTGGATCTAAGGACCCAGGGTAAGACACTACTCACTGCCAGCTAAGATTCCCTAAAGCTGACCCAACATCTCCCAACTCCACTCTCTCCCCTGAGCTCCAAATTCCAGACCACAACTTTGTCAGATAATTTTTACTATACTATAGACCACACTGTGCTAGGAATCTCAGAGACCAAGTAGTACCCAAACACCTCACTCAGGTAATTTTTAAATGCCAAGTACCTAAAGTAAACATTCTGTCTATGTGCAAACAGAATGTCATCTGATACAAAACAAGCTTTTATTTGCAGAAACAGAAAAAGAATTATTAAATTTATATAATACCAGGTAATGACAAAAATAATCACTAAGTAGAATTTAACATTTTCAAATTCAATTTTGATATCTAGTTACCTTTTTTCCAGAGCTGAGGATTGAACACAGGGCTTGAGCTTACTAGGCAAGTGCTCTACCACTGAGCTAAATCCCCAACCCCGATATCTAGTTATCTTAATCACAGAAATTTTAAACTTTTAAACATATAGTTAACCATCAATATGACATTAGCCATCCCAATGTATGAAGAGATACTTACGGGTGCATGGGTGACACAAAATGTGGTGCACCCCCAAAAGCCAATGTCAGTGTGGGTGAAGATAAAGGAAACCTGCATCCCTGCATATTGTGCAGCTTGGTTAACTGGAGGGTCTCCTCAGCTTTTGTTATTACTCATATGAAATTTGGGAGGACTCTTGTGAATTATGTATGTGTCAGAATCTTCCGGAGCCTTTTGAAATTTAGTTTAGTTCTGGTGACTTAATTATTTCTCTTCCAAAAGGCAATGTTCCTCCAATTCTGAGGAACTAACTTTTCAACAGGAATGTAATTGCAAAAGAAGAGAATGAGGTGCTTATTCAGCCACACCTTAGAAAATGTTTCAATAATGGGGATGTATACATTGAAATATTAAAAAATACGAGGATGGTTCTGGTGAGAGAAGACTTTGACATACAGCACTTTGGGTGCACAGTACAGCAAATGGTAAAACCCAATGTTAAGCATAGGATTTCAGAATGATAACTCTAAGAGCAGAGTTAGAAAGACAAGATTGGGTTACTGAGTGTGAATATTATAAATATGAAATTGTTTTGAAACCCATTGTGTTGTATAACATGATTACATATTAGTAACATACACTAA